ACGTTTCTCTACCTGCATCTCAGGACTTGCAGGGCCTGCCCACAAACGGATCCCCCGACAGCTGCAGAAGTTAGTGGGGCAGGTACACACACTCCTTCACGAGGGTCCCCAGTCCACAGAGCCGGCAGGAATCCCCTTCCCGCCATTTTTTGAGCAGGGAGACTCCAGGCAAGACATTCAAACCCCCGTGCCTCAGTTCCTCTCCCCCAGTGAAATGGCTATTTCCACTTCTACTCAGTGTTCTTTATCTTGTGCCAGACATAACCTACGTGCCTGAGCATGTCTTGACTCACGTCTCACGGTGACCACAAAGGTAGTTACTGTGCCAATGAGTCTTGTGACTTATCAGGGTGCAGGGACAAAATAGGCCCGATAAAAGTGCTTAGCAGTGTGCTTGTCACAGAGTAAGGCCCCAGCACACAGCACACAGTTGCAAATGAAGGTCACACAGTCCGTGACACTCCTACCCTGGAGACCCAAGGCCGTCTGGGGCGGTCTTCCTTCTCACGGTGAAGCCTTCCAGCAGCGTCTCTGGGGAACCAGGACCCGCTGTGGCCACGCCCCTGGCGAGCTGGGCGACCCCGGGGCAACTTTCAAGCCTCATAAGCCAATCCTGCAGAAGGGGATTCGTGAGGGGGCCTCTCTGAGGTTTACAGGGAAACATTATTTTCCCCTGCATCCAGGCACTGTGTCTGCAACTTAACACGTATAAGTCAATCCTCGAACAGGAAGCAGATACTCACTATAGTTCTCTTTCCACTCACTTCTCTCTTGGGCAGAGAAGATGAACTCGCCCAAGGTCCTAGAGCTGGTAACTGGGGGAGGCTGGATTTGACGCGTGTCTAAACTCTCAGCCACCAAGCTACACTGCTTCTCTAGTGAGCAGAAGCTCTGATGAGGCTGCCACCCACAGCCTCTTACCCTCACACCTCTGGGGGCAGATGGGGTTTTAGGATCCAGAGCGTCTTTGTTTTCAAAACGGCACGCAGGCATCCATCCGTGAAGGAATGGGCAAGAAAAATGTGGTCCGTCCCTACGATGGAATAGCATTCAGCCTTAAAAAGGAAGAGAGTTCTGGCACACGCTCCAATACTGATGAGCCTTGAGGACATTATGCTGAGTGAAACGAGCCAGTCACAAAAGGCGAATACTGTAATACTGCCCTTAAATGAGGTACCCAGAGTAGTCAAAGTCACAGAAACAGGAAGCAGAATGGGGTTGCTGGAGGTTGTGGGCAGGGGAAAATAGAATTTTTTTAAGGCTTATTTTCCTTTTGAGAGAGAGAGAGAGAGAGTGTGTGTGTGTGTGTGTGTGTGTGAGCAGGGAAAGGGCAGAGAGAGAAACGGACAGAGAGATCCCAAGCAGGCTCTGAGCTGACAGCAGCAAGTCTGACATGGGGCTTGAACTCATGAACTGGGACATCATGACCTGAGCTGAAGTTGGACACTCAACCAACTGAGCCACCCAGTTGCTCCTAGAATTGTTTTTTCATGGGTACAGAGTTTCAGTTTTGCAAGATGGAAAAGTTCTGGAAATGGGTCACATAATTATGTGAATGTATTTAACACTACGAATTGTACATTAAAAAATGGTTGGCCATTTATAACTACGTCAATGGAACCAGAGGGTATTATGCTAAGCGAAATTAGTCAGAGAAAGACAAATATCATGTGACTTCACTCATGAGGAATTTAAGATACAAAACAGATGAACATAAGGGAAGGGAAGCAAAAATAAGATAAAAACAGGGAAGGGGACAAAACATAAGAGACTCTTAAAAATGGAGAACAAACAGAGGGTTACTGGAGGGGTGGGGGGGTTGGGCTAAATGGGTAGGGAGCATTAAGGAATCTACTGAAATCATTGTTGCACTATATGCTAACTAAGTTGGATGCAAAGTAAAAAAAAAAAAAAAAAGTAGACCCTATTTTCCAGTATGTATGAATAAAGATGAATGTATTCTAGTAAAGAAAAAAAAAAATGGTTGGGGCACCTGGGTGGCTCAGTCGGTTAAGCATCCGACTTTGGCTCAGGTCACTATCTCGCAGTTCATAAGCTCGAGCCCTGGGTCGGGCTCTGTACTGACAGCTCAGAGCCTGGAGCCTGCTTTGGAGTCTGTGTCTCCCTCTCTCTCTACCCCTCCCCCACTCACGCTCTGTCTCTCTCAAAAATAAATAAACATTAAAAAAATTTTTTTGATGCTAAATTTTATGTTAGGTGTATTTTACCACAACTAAAATTTCTTTTTTTTTCTTTTTGAGAGATAGCCAGAGCACGAGTGGGGGAGAGGGGCGGGGGGGAGGAGGGGGGAGCGAAAGAGAGAATCTTAAGCAGGATCCACACTCAACACGGAGCGTGGTACAGGCCTCAGTCCCATGACCCTGGGATCATGACTTGAGCTGAAACCAAGAGTCAGACGCTCAACCAACTGAGCCACCCAGGCACCCCTAAAATTTCTTCAGAAAGAAACGTATACCATATGTTACTTAGAACCCACAGTGAGAGTGGAATTCGTGCCCACATCAAACACGATACTTTCGTAGCAAAAGAAATGCTGAGAGGGATAAATAGACTATAAGTAGCCTTGTGTCAGTAAGGGTTGGGTTTTGTCACCCAAATAAATTGAGGAACCGAATTGAGGAAGACAAAACTGGATATTCAGAGACTGTGTTGGAGTTCAGAATTGCTGATGAGGGACGGGATTCATCCTGTGAGTACTAACAGAATGAAGCTGGTCGTCCCGTGGGGGAGGCAGACTTCCAGGGCATGTTACCCTGGGGACAGGGCAGTGCGGGGAGCCTCAGCCACACTCGCCTCTCTGCGCAGCTCCTCCCAGGCCCTGGTCGTGGCGGGGCAAGCCTACCTCAGGTTGCAACCTTGGTCAGCACACTCATACTGCAGCTGGCCAGGCAGGCTGGCCACCAGGGCTCTGAGCTGCACCGTGTCCAAGGCCTCCCAGATGGCTTGGTCCGGGTGCTCCTGCAGCATGTCCAGATTCATCCGAAGCGAGCCAGGGAACAGGGTGGGGTCCTGGCCGGAAGGGGCAGTGGGTCAGAGCCAGGCCCAGCCACGCCTCCCACCTCTGCCCACCCTGTGCCCCGGGCCTCACCTGGGGGATGATGGTGATCCTGGACCGCAGCGTGTGCAGCCCTACGTGGGTGATGGGGACCCCGTCGATCCAAATCCCACCCTCGGCCGCCTCCAGGAGCCGCAGGAGGCCCCCAGCCAGGGAGGACTTCCCGGCCCCTGTCCTGCCAACGATGCCCACCTGCCAGGGGATGAGAGGGCAAGGCTCGTTCTGACCACGTCTGCCCAGAAGCCCGGAGGGTCCCTGGGCATCTCTGCGAGGTGTTTCCCCTGCATCCAAGATACATCCATCTATCCATTATCCTTTGAGCATTTGTCCATCTGTCCACCTTTCCATATGTCCACCCATTCCATCCAGCCTTCTTTCTGTACATAGTTCTCTATCTTCTCCCCTCTGTGACTCACCTCTCCTATCTTTCTGTCCACTCACCCACACTTCCTGCTCTACCCCCACCCTCCCGTTTTTCCACCCTTCCATCCATCTGCCCATCATTGTTCCTGCCCCCATCCGTCCTCAGCATTTACTGCTGCATTCTTTTTTTTTTTTTTTTTAACGTTTATTTATTTTTGGGACAGAGAGAGACAGAGCATGAACGGGGGAGGGGCAGAGAGAGAGGGAGACACAGAATCGGAAACAGGCTCCAGGCTCTGAGCCATCAGCCCAGAGCCTGACGCGGGCTCGAACTCCCGGACCGCGAGATCGTGACCTGGCTGAAGTCGGACGCTTAACCGACTGCGCCACCCAGGCGCCCCAACTGCTGCATTCTTAATGTCCAACACTCCCTGAAGGCTCAACACTATATGTTTAAGAAGTGAATGAAATATGGGCCATCTGGGTGGCTCAGTCAGTTAAGTGTCCAACTTTAGCTCAGGTCGTGATCTCACGGTTCGTGAGTTCAAGCCCCACTCCGGGCTTGCTGCTGCCAGCGCAGAGCCTGCTTTAGACCCTGTAGCCCCCTCTCTCTCTGCCCTTCTTCCACGTTCAATCTCTCTCTCTCTCAAAAATAAACATTAAAAAAAAACAGTAAATGAATCGTGTTACCCACTGTATGACAGGCAACTCTTCTAGGCATGAGGAATAGAGAAATTAAGGAATCCTTGCTCTACAGGGCTCACTGTCTGGTCTTGGAAATAATGCAACTGAGCAAACTTAATTTGAATACACTTGATGAAAAAGCCCCCTCTATAATCAGACTCTGGACGTGAAGCCGCCTGGGATAGAAGTCAACAGGGTAATCAGAGCAGGCTTCATGGTGGAGGTGATACTTGAGTGGAACCTTGAAGGATAAGCAGGAGTTTGGGGTAGGGGAAGATGCCAGGTAAACCCCCTGAGGGCAGCACCAGGTGCCCACCTGGCCCCGTGAGGCAGTACTCCCCAAGTGTTGGCTGAGCCCTGGCAGGGCAATGAATGAAGAGCTGGGCAGAGTCTTGAATGCCAAGCTCAAGAGTTGGGCTTTACTGTAAGGGAAGCTGGGAGCAGGGGGAAGGTCTCAAGCAGGGGAATGTCATGCCCAAATAAAGATCACGGAAAACAGACTGGAGGTGACTAAATGGGAGGCTGGGGGCTCAACTGGGGGCCTGGAGCAGTCTAGGAGGAGGCAGGAAGGAAATGCAAGTGGGAAATGTTTCCTAAGCATCTGTAAAATGGGACAATACTAGCACTTCTTCGTAGGGTCGTTGTCAGAGTAAAAGTGCACCTGATAATTGCTAAAACCCCGGGCAAACGCTTCTGCAGCTCTTGCTATGTGCCAGGCACCGTTCCCAGCAGTTTATATGTGTTAAGTCACTGAAACTTCACAAGAGCTCTGTGAGATTGACATTGTTATTTCCATTTTACAGATGGAAAAACTGAGGTCAAGACATGAAGTGACCTGCCCAGGGTCAGCCATGGCGAAGCCAGGAACTGAGCCCATGCAGACTGGATCGCGTATGTGGAACATCCAGCACTCTGCCACAGCACTCACGTCGGAGGCAAAGAGAAAGAAGGCGGTCCGAGAGACGCCTCCTTACCCAGGACACCAAGGTGGGTGGGTGGTGGCATTTGCCAAGATGGCGGCAGGCCTGGGGGAGATGATCCTTTCAGTTAGGGCGTGGTGGGTCTTCAGAGTGGAGGGCCTGAAGTCGGGTGTGCAGGAAGCATTTGGTGCTCAGGGCCTAGACCCTGGGCCCTGCCCACCCTGGGCCTGGCTTCCAGGAGGAGGAAGACGGGCCAGAGTCACTCACCTTCTCTCCGGCTTCGATCTTGAAGGACACACCCCGAACGGCCAGTGGGAGCTCAGGTCTGTATCTCAGCCCAAAGTCCCGGAACTCGATCTGCCCCCCGTGAGGCCAGGGGGACCGGTCTGCACAGGTGGGTAGCCTCCAGGGCGCCTGGGATGGGAGAGGGGCACAGAGTCAGAGGAGCCGCTCTCTCTTTGAGCTTCAGTTTCCTCTTCTGTAAAATGGGTATATTTACCGCTATCTTACAGAGTCGTTGGGGGCATTGGAACATAGCTGAGCTATAAACAGGTGACCTCTGAGATTATAAAAATAATGATGGTATTGGCTACTCTATCTTTATTATTATTATTAGCCACTATTAATTCTCAAATAAGATTCTGTCTTCCTCTAGAAGGGGTAGAATAATATTCTCCCCTTTGTCTTTGTGAGGAGGGCAAGATTGTGCACGAGGGGGTCGTTAGCTGCTGTGTGCTCTTCCTGTGACCTTGAATAGGTCCTCGATCCCCTCGAGGTGAAAGGGGGCCCATCAGAGCCGTGGGCGTGTAGGGCCTGTCTACGGTGTGCCTGACACTAAGTGCTTTCTCGTGGGATCTCACCTGACCCCCCAGTACACCCGCACTGTTACCTTGCCATGTCACTCTTCCGTTATTGTCATCTTGCTGTGATGTGCCTAGAACGTTGCTGTGATGTGTCTGTGATGTGGCCGTCATGTTGCTGTTCTACTGCTACTGCACTGCTGTTACCTATGGTCCCCTGTCACTCAGAAGAATGACCTGCTTTGCCCAAGCGAAGAAGCAAAGGACCCAGGATTTCTCCTGGCTCCAGACCCCACGCTCTTAACCATTACTGTCACCCTGGCTGCAACCCCAGCCCTCAGTGGCAGGGGCTCTAAAGCCCATAGCAGGCATAGACCTGGGTCCACACCCCCGCCCCATCTTCCACCCATCACCTCCTTGGGCGTCTGGACATAGTCCTTCATCCGCTCTACCGACACGATGCTGCTCTCCAGGTCTGTCCAGCTGCGAACAGCCCACTGCAGTGTCTGGGTCACCTGGCGGGGGAAGACACTGCAGGCTTGCATCAGCCCCCCTGAGGCAGGGGCGGGAGGCAGAAGTGGGGACAGGTAAGGGGATGGGCTTTCACTGTCATCACCAGGACCTTCCTTCAGTAGAACTGGAGTATGCAGAGTAGAAAGATGTCCAACCCATCTTGATACAGGTGGGACGAGAGGACCAAAGAGGGTGTATGGCTCTCGCAAGGACACCCAGCAGGGCTCAGGCCCACTGACTTCCATTCTGAGAGTGTCTCTTCCCTGATTTCCCATCATTTTGCCTCAATGTAAAATGAGGCTAATAATAGTATCCCCGATGGGGTTGTGGGCAGAATTAAATGGGTTAATAGTTATAAAGCTGTTACAACAATTCACTAGAAGAATGCTACTTGCATATAAATTTTTTCCTTCATAGATATCATGACCTGACATGACATATTATTATTAATAGTTAACAAAATTTAGCACTACCCTGGAAATGGACTCTATATACCTTATCTCAACTAGGCTCTACAAAGTCTGAAGTGAAGAGATTACTGCCCCATTTTCCAGATGAGCACACTGAGGCTCTGCAAGGGTAGACTCTTGCCCAAGGTCCAGGAAGGTCACCCCAGCTAAGCCTCTATATTTTCCTCACTGGTTGCTGGTTTGCACTGGGGTCCTTGAAGGTCTGACTGGCAGAGGTCTGTCTTGGGAGGCAGGTGTACCTGGAGGGCAGCAGAAACAGAGAAGCCCACGAGGCCGGCGCTAAGGTGGGCCTTGCTCAGCACAGCACACATGGCGGCTGCCAACACCAGCACGTTCCCCAGGAGCTCCAGGTTGGTAGCCAGCCACCTGCAAGGAGACGCAGGTAAGAGCAGGGCGGGGGGAGGGCCTTGTCTGCAGGACTTGTTTCTCTGGGCACAGGGACTGGTCATCGTACCAAGCTGAGTCCCACAGGGGTCCCAGCATTGGTCTCCTCCACACCCCAGGCCCCACCCAAGCTCAGTGGGTGGGGGAAGTTGACGCTTTTGTCTTACCTGTGCCCAGCTCAGAGCCTGGCACACAGTAGGTGCTCAAGTAAAGTTTCGCCATGGTGCCGATTTTCCGTCCCTGGGCTATGCCCGGCTGTATCCCTTGGGGTCCCCCTGCCTGGACCTGACCTCCATCTTCATACGGCCAGTATCATCTTCATGCACAGGTTGGGTTGAACGTCACCTCCTCCAAAAGCCTTCATGGCCTGTTCCTCCCTTTCTAACACATCGCTCATAACTCCCTTCATAACACTTACCACTCTTAATAATTAAACGATTTAATCAGTCCTTGACCATCAGTCTCCATCAGTAGATGGTGAGCTCCGTGAGGGCGGCAGCTCTGTGTCAGTCATGACAGTCCCCAGTACTTAGCCCAGGACCCAGCACGTAGTAGGTGCTCAATGAATAATAAACTGAGTGGATAAACAGGCACCTCCTTCTCTTGCATTCCTACTCCAACATTCATTCATTCATTCATTCATTCCATTCATTCAACAAACATATTGACCACCTACTGTATGTCATGTCTGCTGCAGGTGCTGGGGACACAGTGATCCAATTTAAGAATCTGTCTTCAGGGATCTCTGGGCTTTACTACATGGAGAATCTAGTCCTTCTAACAACCCCACAAAGCAGGGTATTGTTGTCCCCATTTGATAGATGAGGACACTGGGGCTCAGAAGAGTTAGGTACTTGCCAGAGTCCACACACATGAAAGTCTTAGAAGCCACATCACCCTGATGCATACCAGGAAGCATGAACCTTTTCCACTAGGTTATGGTGGTTTTCAACAAACCAACCAGCAAATGAATACGTAAGTTGCTTCCTAGACAGCTGATCTTGGGAGAGTCCCTTTGTTCTTGAAAGCCCAGTTTACCCATCTGTGGAATGAAGTAAAATCTGGCTCCTTACAGATGAGAGGATTAAATGAGATCTGCCATACAGACCATGGAAATCACTGGGCCTTCACATCGCGGGTGCTTTCTAAATGTTCATAAGGTCTTTCCTCCTTGGGCTAGGACCCCAGCAAGAGGCAGGGCAGGTCGCCCAGAAGGCTTATGGGATTGAGATGCTGCCCACAGCCACATGGCCTGATAGCCTCAGCTGGCCAGGGACCTAGGGCATAAAGGAGAAAGGAATTCACACTTATTGAGCACCTACTGTGTGCTTGGCCCTCTCCACACTGTGGCACCAGATTACCTGGATTCAGATCCTTACTCCAACACATTCACTGTGCGGCCCTGGGCAAGTTCCTAAATCTCTCTGTGCCTAAGATTCATCATCCATAAAACAGTCTCGGCCTCATGACTTGTTTTTAGGACTAAAAGAACAAATCCATGTAGAGCGCTCAGTACTGTGCTGAGCATGTAGTAAGCATGTTACAAGCATTAGCTCTGAGTGTATTTATTTAATCCTCATAGCCACCCCATAAGTGACATCCCCCTTGACAAACGAGGCTCAGAGAGGTATGAAACCTGCCCAAGATCACCCAGCTGGTAAGTCGCAGAGCTGGGATTTGAGCCCCTGTCTGTGCTCAAAGCCTGAGTATTCTTACTTAGTAATGAAAAGAGGCTGACGATGCTTACGTAGCTGCTCTGTCACCAAGGCAACAGAGGCTGGTCCAGCGGCCTGGCAACAGAGGCTTCTTCCCTTCTGCTGACATCTGTACTTCCTGTCCACCTGCTGCTGAGGACTCCTCAGGCCAGACTCCATCTGCTCACGGTATGAGCCAAGTGCACCCGTGGGGTATAGCTTCAGCTTTATCCCTGACTTGCTGTGTGACTTTGGGCAGGCCGCTTGATCTCTCTGGCCACATAGTGTGACCCTACGTCTCACTCTCTGGGAACACAGATGTCTTGCAGGGTCTTGCCTGCCCCCATGCTTTTCCTACCTGTCAGCCACCAGCCGCGGGAAACTGACTCTCTGGCTTTCATCCACGTGCATGTCATTCTGAGCCACGAAGGGGCACTGGGCCTGGAAGGCTCTGACCACTGTGATGCCCTGGAACGTGTCGGCCACATGGGAACACACGAACGAGTGCCTGGCTGACTCGAGGCGTCTGAGCTGGCATAAGCTGGCCACGTACAGGCTCTGAAGTGGGACAGGTGGGGAGGGGAGAAGTCACAGACACAGAGAGGTAGTTTGAGACGCACAGGGAGCCTCAAGTACAGGGTTTCAGACCAGGCTCTGTTACCAGCTTGCTGTGGGACCTTGGCCTAGTTGATTCCCCTCTCTGGACTCTATTTTCCCTGCAGAATCAGAGTTGCATGGTTCTTTTTAAGAAGAACCCAGAGGGCCGCCTGGGTGGCTCCGTCAGTTAAGCATCTGGTTTCGGCTCAGGTCATGATCTAGTGGTTCACGAGTTCAAGCCCCGCATCAGGCTCTGTGCTGACAGCTCAGAGCCTGGAGCCTGCTTCTGATTCTGTGTCTTCCTATCTCTCTCTCTGCCCCTCCCCTGTTCATACTGCCTCTCTCTCCTTAAAAAAAAAAAAAAAAAAAAAAAAAAACATGAAAAAAATTAAAAAAGAAGAACCCAGGAAGCTGCAAAACCCTCCAGTGCCCCATCCCAGAACTATTAAATCAGAATCTCTGGTGGTACCACCTTGGCCTTGGTAGTTTTCAAAAACCTTCTGGGCGATTCTAACATACAGCCAGGACTGAGAAACCACTCATCTAGTGTGAATATCTCATTCCCAGCCCTAAAGCCAACTGCTTCACTTAGAGCCAGTCATTGTGGGAACAAAACCATAAAGGACAAGGAAGGCAGTCGGCCAAGTGGAATCCGCTCACTTAACTGGAGGTTACCTGCCCGGTGCTGGGAACATAACAATGCCCAAATGATCCGTGGGGTTATTTGCTCTGACGCCACAAGCTGTGTGCCAGCCTCTTTACAAACAGTATTTATTAATGTGAGGTAGGCACTGGTGTCCTTCACAGTTTACAGGTGAGAAAACCTGAGGCCCAGAGGGATCAAGTGGCTGGTCCAGGCCTCTCCAGCAAGCAAGTGGCAGGGCCCGGATTCAAATCCACCTCCGTCCGACCCTTAAGCTGTCCCTCCCCAGGTCAAGAAGACATCGAGAAGACAGTGGTGGCTGTGGCTTTTGTCTGACTACCGTGTTTTTTTCTCTTCTATTTCTGATTACCTGGGGTGGAGGTGGAGGGTAGAGTTCAAACGTGGGACCCGATCACGGAGGACGTAGCCTCACGCAGCCTAGCCAGTCAGAGTGTGCTAACCCTCTGGTCACTGTGATTCACTCAGGGATGAACACGGGCCCCCAAACAGGCCAGTCAAATCTTCCCTGGGACTGACCTATGAATGCGGAGCTGGAGTAAAAGTTACTTTGGGTTGGACTTGCTGAGGTGGGATGCTGTGAGTATAGGGCTGCCAGGGGCCATCAGACCCATCAGACCCTAGAAAGACAGTGCGTCCAAAATCAGGCCACGCAGAGCTAAAGCCAGTGGTTTTTAAACATTAGTATGCATCAGAATTATCTGGAGGGTTTGCTGAAACCCACATTTCTGGGCTCCATTTCTACCGTGACTTGAGAGTCAGTAGTTCTTGGGTGGGGCCTGAGAACGTGCATTTCTCACTAGCTCCCAGGTGGTCCTGACGCTGCTGGTCTGAGATGGCACTTTGAGACCCCCTGAGCAAAGATATGGAGAGAGTGACCGCATCCTGGTGATAACCGGCTCCTTGCACTTTAGGGACGTAAGACGTTAATTTCTGTCGTTTTGTTTAAGCTAATTTCAGTTGGTCTCCAGCTCTGGCAACTGAAAGAGTCAAGCCTAATACAACACTTGGAGACCTTGCAATGCCTCCTTGGTTTCTAGATAGTTGGACAACGGGAAGCTGATTTCAGCAGCAGCAGGACAAAATGTAAGATATTAAGAACTTAGACACGGACATTCGGGAGACAGTGGTGAGTGTAGGTGTTAGAAGTAAACTGTGGTGTCTCTGCCTCTGGGAATTCTTCTAGGGGTTCTTCCACTGTGCAGAGCCTCTTACGCTGAATCCTGTCCAGAGACAAGAGACTGGCTGAGGTGACCCGAGCTGGCCCCAGGGGCCTCCCCAGTCTCTCCGTACCTGAAACCCAGCATAGAGGACCAGCAACGGCAGGAAGGCGACAATAGCCAGAGGGGTGGTCACCGTCACCACCAGGCTGACCTGCAGCAGTCCAAAGGCATAAATCAGCAAGAACCGGAGTTTGTCTGGGACGTCCACATCTACTGTGTCTGTTTCCTTAGAGAAGCGATTCAGCAAGTTCCCGATGGGCGTCCGCTCAAAGAAGCCGATGGGACACTGTGCCACATCCCACAGAAGCCTCTGGAAAAGCAGTCTGGATGCCCGGATTCCTGCCAGGAGCACCATGGCCATGGAGGCAAACAGCCCAATGGCTGGGGAGAGAGCGGGTGTCAGAGCGTGAGAGCCGAGACCGCCCTCCCCCAACTACCCCATGATGGCCATCTTATGCTTTGGCCATCCTGAGTATCCCCTGATGGAACCACCCTGCAGTGGGTTGAACAGTGTGCCTCCCCACCCTGCAAACTCGTGTCCATCAGGAATCTCGGAATGTGACCTTATTTGGAAACACGTTCTTTGTGGCCGTTTTCAGTGAAAGATCCTAAGGTGGTAACACCCTGGATTTAGGATGCCTTCTAAATCCAATAGCTCCCGTCCTTACAAGAAGAGAAGACATCCGGAGACAGAGACGAAGGTGATATGAAGGCAGAGGCACAGAATGGAGGCATATGCAAGCCAAGGATTGGAGACCCCCAACAGAAGCTAGGAGACAGGCATGGGACTGTCGCTCCCTCAAAGCCTCCAGGAGGAACCACTCCTGCCGACAGCTTGTCTTTGGGCTGCTGGCTTCAGGACACTGAGAGATGAAGTGTCTGTTGTTCTAAGTTACCAAGTTTGTGGTAATTTCTGTCAGCCCTAGGAAACTAATATACCCCCTTTTTCTCAATGCCCATCTATGTGCCTGGAATGGGGCTGACTTCACTCCGTTTCTGAGGTGGGGCAAACTGTCTCTGGCCCATCCAAACCACTGCAGTTGGTCTGTCCCCACCCAAGTCCTCAGCTACCCCGACATCTGGGGGCCAAGGTTCTGCACTTGCTGAGGAGTCTGGCACAGACTCTGAAGATCCCAGGAAAGGAGGGATGTGTCCTGCCCCCCCCACTCCTTCCAGCCTTATCTAAAGGATGCAGGTCTGCGCTTGGGCCCAGGATGTTTGCACAGATGTCCAGAAAGGACAGGGATGGGCAGGCCAGGGAGCCCTGAGCACCTCAGATGGGGCCGGGAGGGTGGAGGGTGAGGAAGGCGGGCGAGGGGTACCTTGGAGGCAGCCCAGGAGCCCGAAGATCCAGCCACGCAGAGCCGCCTGGGTCTGTCGCCCGTCCACAGCGGGGTCGTCGGCCCACAGGCTCAGCCAGTAGCCACGGCAGAAGGAGGCCACTTGCTGGCAGAGGAAGAGGAACAGTGCATAGAGGCACAGTGGGGCACCCACAGCCCGTAGGTAGGTCAGGTGCATGGTGGCCCTCACCTGTAGCACAGGTAGGGGGGATGGGGACAGAGAGAGGCCCCGGAGGGAAAGGAAAGAAGAAAAGACCAGGTGAGGTTCTCAACAGGGCAGATGGAACCACGGTGCAGACCTTACCTGTGCTCTCTCGGTTCCTACCACCTGGAGCACCAGGTCTCCTATAGGCCCCACCTAGCCTCAAGACCCCCTTCCTCTGCAGAACCCTCCAAAGGCCAGTGGGAGCTTTAAAGCTGTGGCACTTTCTGGCTTTGGAGTGATTTATTGAACACATACTATAGGACAGGCATGTGTCTCTACCCCCATCATAACTCCCACCTGACAGATAAGGAAAGAAAGGCACAAAGAGGTTAAGACACCTGCTAAGGTCCAGCTGCCACAAATCTGAAGTTCTTCACCTGGCTGCAGCCAGAGTGAACTTCTGGAAACGTCATCCTGACCCTATCTTGCTGTTGCTGGCCTGCTCATGGCTTTCTCTTGCTCTCAGAAGAAATTCTCACCTTCTAGTCTGTCTCTCTGACCTTACCTCCTACTCACTATCTGCTGGTCTCATGGGATTTCTTTCTTTTCTCTGGTGCCCCAAACTCCTTCCCACCTCAGAGCCTTTTCACCTGCTGTTCCCTCTGCCTGGAATGCTCTCCCTCCTCCTCTGTCAGCTGCTGGTTCCTTACTTTAGGGCTCAGCTCGAGCATCACCCATTAGGGCATCTTAATCCAAGCAGGCTCGTGACCCTCAGTTGGTTGGTCTCCATCTCATTTCCCTTCTTTATTTTTTTTATCATTATCTGATATTACCTTGCTCATTAGCCTAATTATTTGCTGACTCTCCCCCCACTAGTGTGCAACATCCACCAAAGTAGAGACATTGCCTGCATGTAGTGGGGGTTTTGTAAATGTTTTTTGGGTGGATGAGTAGGTGGATGGTTGGGTGGGATGATGGGTAGTTGAGTGAATGAAAGGGTAGATGGGTGGATGGATAAATGAGTGAGTCTATAGAAGAGCAGATGAATAGATGAGTGGATGGATGGATTCTGGATGGATAAGTGGGTGGATGGATGGATAGATGGATAAGTGGGTGGATGAGTGGACAGATGGAAGGTGGGTAGATGGATGGGTGGGTGGATGGGTGGATAGATGGAAGGTGGGTAGATTGATGGGTGGAAAAGTGGGTGGGTGGAATGGATAGATGGATGGATGGAAGATGGGTAGATGGATGGATGGGTGGATAAGTAGGTGGATGGATGAACAGATGGAAGGTGGGTGGATGGGTGGATAGATGGAAGGTGGGTAGATGGATGGGTGGAAAAGTGGGTGGATGGATGGGTGGATGGAAGGTGGGTAGATGGATGGGTGGATAAGTGGGTGGATGGATGGATAGATGGATAAGTGGGTGGATGGATGGATAGATGGATAAGTGGGTGGATGAGTAGATAGATGGAAGGTGGGTAGATGGATGGGTGGGTGGATAAGTGGATGGATGAATGGATGGATGGAAGATGGGTAGATGGATGGGTGGGTGGATGGGTGGATAAGTGGGTAGAAGGATGAATAGAGGGAAGATGGGTAGATGGATGGATGGTAGGTGGATGGATGAAGGGCTGGATGAGTGAATGGGTGAGAGGGTAGGTGAGATGGATAGATGAGTGAGTAGATGGGTAGGTGGCTGGATGGGTGAGTAGGATGGGGTGGATGGTGAATAAATGGAAAAGTAGGCAGACAGAGGAATGAAAAAGTAGGTAGGTGAAAGGAGGGGTGGACAAAGCATCATAAAAGAAAAGAAATAGTACAAACTTTAGATTCTGACTGACCTAGGTTTTAAGTCCCAGGTTGCTTGCTCTGAGCAACCTTGATTTAAGTCCCTTGCTAGCTCTGAGAACGCAGACAAACTCTTTAAGACCTCAGTTTCTTCATTTCTAAAACGGAGCTGTCACCATCTAATTTTGGGGTGGTTGTGAGCATTAAGAAACATGAAGTGTCCAGAGTCCAACGTGGCACACAGTAGGTGTCCAGTAAAGTGAGTCTCCCCCACCCCGCCTCCCTGCCCAGCACTGTATCTGATGGGAGGTCTTGGGCCCCGGGGAGTGCGTAGCTGTAGCAGTGGACGTAGAGGAGAGGGAGCAGCTGGTGGTTACCCTGCCATACTGGATGCCATCCTCTCCTTTTGACCATCCTGCCCACTCTGGATCATCCAGGGGAGCCCCTGGCTGGGCCTCTGAAGCGGCTCTGTCCTTCTCAGAGACCAACAACTTCATGGACCTGTCACTGAGAGGAAATGAAGACAAGTCAGCGTCTCTGTCCAGGGGGTGTGTGCGCACCCAACCCTCATGGCCACTGGGAGCCGGTGACCTCTGACATACACTCTTCACTCATTCATTCCTTCGCTCACTCATACAACCAGCATATGGAGCACCACGGGGCATCGCGCTCCGTCCTCCCTCCACGGTGCCCAGCTAAATGCCATCTCCTTCCCCGGAGGCGAGCAAGCCTGTTCTCCCGATGCTGTTTCTTGGAATGAACTTATTTAGTCAACTTTGGGACCTGTTTTCAGAGTTTTCCTTTTGGCCTAAGCATTGCTACGGTCATTTTGCCCCTGCTGTTTACCCGCAGATCTGTTAGTCCACCTTGGAAGAAGGTCAGTTTTGTGCAATTCAAATGTTGAGGACTTCTTGTATCTTCCTTTCGTCTGCGGATGAGGGGGCTGCCTTAAACTTAAATGTGAATTGCCATCTGGTGACTGTGAAACCGTGGGCAGCTGACGTATCCTGTCTGTGCCTCAGTTTCCTCAGCTGAGGAAATGGGGTTAGTCTATGTCGGTCTGTCTAGCTACCAATCAATCATCCACTCATCCATCATTCATCAATCTGTCATCTCTCTCTCTCTCTCTCTCTGCCTACCTGCCTATATCATCTATCTGATCTTGGGATTATTGTGCACAGTGAGGACAAGTGGGATTGCCCAGTGTAAGACCCAGGAGTGCTCGGGGTGGCTACCTGGCATGGAGAGAAGCTGTGCTCAGCCTCTACATTCCCCAGGGACCAAGGACCCTCACAGTACCCCAGGAGCCCCCCAACAACTGTCACCTAAGCTCGCACTGTGTCCACTGCCCAGTGGTCTGCTGTTGACAAGGTCACTTTCCATAAAAAGGGCAAGTACCAGGTGGTGTAGGGCTGCAGACAGCCCCACAATGAGTCCAGCTACGGCCTGTCGAGAAGGGGCTAGGGACGAGGGGACAGCAGGCCTCCTGGTGAACCCCCACGCGTGTGTTCTGGCCTGTAACAAGCGATCCCACGCGTGTAGACTCAAGCCCTTCGTGTAGCAAGCCTGAAAAACCATGACGCACGACAGGGCTGGGCACATCATTAACAGCTATGGCGAGGATCTTTCTCTGGCACCAGCCCTGCCCCTCTCTGGCAATGACACAACCTAACAAACTTTAGGGCATTCATCATATTTGAGGGCAAACTGGTCCTGCTATGAACTGGCCACATGAGGACTTAACCACTTTGGCCCATTGAAGATCAAAAGCTTTCGGCTGGTCTGGCCCCCAGAGCGGG